GCCTCGCCTTTGATCTCGTTGGTGGGGCTGGGGGATGAGAGCTGCACCGCGCGGGACAAGTCGCCGGCGGCGCCCGACGGAGCAGGTGATTTCCCCTCCGGCCCCCGGCCCAGGGCTGGGAGAGTCGCGGAGAACGCTGACCCAGGGTACCCGTCCTGTGTGTTCCCCCACGGTACTCCCTGGGACCCATCGGCCCCCCCATCTCTGGTTCTTGCCGTGGCCTGTATCAAGGCACATCCCAGCTTACTCAGGCCTCCCTAGTCCTGTGTCCCCACGGCTGCAACCGCATCCCGGTGCCCTCGGGCCCGCTATTCCGGACCTTTATGGGTATCCCGCTAGCTTGTTTAGGGAGCTCCTGCTTCAGGGGTGGACCATCATCACAGTCCCACTTCCTGTGCACCCCACTATCCCCGTTTGTGCTCCGGTCTGACTTTGGGTGCTGGAATCCCTTGTAGCCCTCAGTGTCCTTGGAGCCTCTAAGACTTGACTTGGGGGTCAGGGGACAACGACGTCCTCTGGAACCTGCGTTATGGGACTAGGGCCCCAGGAGCTAGGCTTCATAGTGGCTGAGAAACCAGCGAAGACCTCCGTGCTAGACCCTCTGAGTGCCCACACTGCTTCCCAGGACTCCTCCCACATGGCCTTCTGCTTTCTCTCCACCTTAAGCAGCTCCCCACCCCAAGGGAGCAGCATGGCTCTCCTTCCCCCAGTCTCACTTAAATTTGTCCAGGGGATCTGTATTGAGCATCTGGAGTCCAGGCTTGTGCCTGGTCCTGGGGATGCTCTCAGGCCATCTGGGGGCGGTGAGGATGGGACACTGAGGGTTGGCTACAGGGAGAAAGTGAGTCCCGCAGAATGAGAGGCAGAGGGAAAGACGTTCTGAGTGGGGAAAACGGTGTAAGCAAAGATTCTGAGGTAGGCAGGAGGGCCAGCCAGGCAGGACAGGAGGATCAGAACATGGGCTGGGGGCCACATCATTTGCTTCATTAAGAGGTAGTGTAGCGTAGTGGTTAACAGGGTTCTGGAGCCAGACTGCTTGGATGTAAATGTGCCATTAACTTATTGTGTGACCTTGGGCAAGTTACTTAACCTCTCAGTGTCTCCATTTCCTTTTGGGCAAAATGGGATAGTATAATATTATTAGTATCTATATTTTCGGGTTATTGTGAGGATTAGGTAAGTTAATATGGGTAAAGTGCATAGAACTATTATTACCATCATCAGAGGTATTTAAAGAGGACTTATGACAGGATGACAATCACATCTCATGGATGCTACTAACCAGTGAGCCCTGATTTGGAGCCCTCAGGAAGTAATGGAGTTCTGTGGACTACATCCAGTATTTGAAAAGTCTCATGAAAATCATGTTCTTACCCTGGACAAGGCTGGCTGCTTAGGCTACAGCTTCTCCAACTCGGGGACTGTGGAGGAGAAATATTAGAAGAAGCCTCTGGGCAGGAAAACAATGCTGAGGAAGGCTAGGGGGATGGAGAAGGGTGAAAGAAAGAAGTGGCAAGCTTTAAAGGCTGGGTAAAGTTTGGTCAGCCCCAGAACAGGAGAAGGGAAGGTGTTGCCTCCATAGACAAGCTAGAGCAAAAGCTTAGGGGAGGGAGACATTCTTTGGAGGCACGGAGAAGAGTCTCCCAGTAACAACTCCTTGGCCCTCAGACCCTGATCAGAAACCCAGAGGCATCAGACACATCCCTGAGCACTTATTCCCTAGAAACTAGACTTTCTTGCAGCAGGCTTTTTCCCAGCAGAGGTTGCCAGGCAACTGACAGCAGCCAGGATTTGGTGTAATCCAGGGTCGGTGTAGCTCTCTGTATGGGGCTGACCTCTTGGGAGAACCGCATAATGGTGTCTGGCATGTGTGGTGTGAGCAGTTCTGCTCTCCAGGGCCCATGCTAGGCTACGGCTTCTTAGTCTTGCTGTCCAAAGTGATCCCTGTGCTGTCACAGCAACACTATGTTACTACTTAGGGGACCCGGGAACTGTAAGCATAGATCTTAGCTCTGTCTCAACTGGCTTGGAAGTCTTGAGATCCCCCCCCCCCATCCCATGGAATATACACTCAACTAGGCGACCTGGATTTAAATCTTAACTACCACAGTCCAACCAAGTGATACTGGGCAAAGCATTAAACTCACTGAGCTTCAGTTCTGTCATTTTAAAGCAGGGGGAGTAACTCTTTATTGAGTGTCCCACTTCACAGGATACTGAGCGTATGCTGATGAGTAAGCTGGGAGTATAGTCCCTGCCCTCATGAAACAATTGGAAGAAACATTAAACATTGCCCAAATAATTATTTAATTAGAGCTATGAAGAATACTGCAAAATAAGGAAAAGTGCAGTCTGCAATGAGGGTGTAAGATGGTGGGGACCAAAGCAGTTCTCGAGGGTCCAGGGCAGCATCCCATGAGGAAGAAAATTTTAAACTGAGACCCGACAGGTAAGAAGGTGTTAGACAAGTGAAGGGGTGGAGGTGGAAGGCTGTCCAGGCAGAGGAAGCAGCTGTGCAAAGGCTCTTGCCATGAAAAGCCTTGAACGTTGGCAAACTGGAAGAAAGCCAGGGTGGAGGGAAGTGATCCAGGGAGGGTGTGGTGCACGGTGAGGCTGGAGAGATGTACACAGGGATAAAGCCCTCAACTGAAGGCCACAAAAGGAATGTGGGCTAATCAGAAGGGAAGGAGGACGTCACTGATAGATTTTTAGCAGGAACAACAGGATTTTTGTACAGATCACACGACTATGATCTTTGTAAAGAATAGATTTGGGGGAAAGATGGTAGTAGGGGGAAGGGTTAGGAGGCTCCGGCATTGAAGGTAAGAGGTGGAGCAGAATGGGAGGAGAGATGGAGAGAAGCACATGTTGAGAGGCGTGAGAGGTGATGGTCAGGGCTTGGTGACTGGATGTGGGAAAAACTGGAAGGGGTAGGATCATGTCAGGATAATTCCCAGACTTGTGGCAAGAGCAGCTGGGTACGTGAACATGCATTTACTGATGACAGCCTTGGAGGAGCAAAGGACTTGGGAGAATGTCAGTTTGGGATTTGTTAAGTCACCTACATGGAGGTGTCAGAGAGGGCGACGTGCAAACGTGTAGCTCCGCGGAGGGGACTGGGCTAGAGGACTGGCATTTGAGGATTGGTGACATAGAATTGGTTCATAAAGATGTGGGCCCAGACAAGGTCTTCTAGAGAGAGGGGGTGCAGAGGAAGGAGAGAGGAGGAGCAGCTGTGAGCCTGAGCCTTCTTGCCAGCAAAGGAGAGAGGGACAGAGAAGGGAGCCCAGGAAGGAATGGCCAGAGAAGGAAGAGAGTAATGCCTCAGAAACCAACATTGATGCTGCTTGAAAGGGCAAATATTAGGAGAAAACTATAAGAAATAGCCTTTTCTTTCTTTTCCTTCACTCCTTTCTCTCCCTCCCTCCTCCCCTGCCTCCTTCCCTCCCTGTAGATCCAAAACAGGCAGTACTGGCAAGCTTATATGGTTCAACCTAATTAAACCAAAACCGGAAAAAGTAACTCATGACCTTGGATTGAGCAATTTTGGTAGAGATGTTGGAGCAGAAGCCAGATGAGCCGGGGAGAATGGATGGAAAGGAGACTAATAAGGAAATAGAATCGACAGGATTGGATTGGCTGAGTGCAGCAGATGGGGTTGAGAGGGGGTAAAATCAAGGGTAATTCCTAAGTTTCAGATTTGGCAGCTGAGTGAGTGAACGGTTGGGTCAGCCAGTGAAACAGGAGGGGGGATGTATACCGATCATGAGAATATTGTGAGTGCGGGGTAGATGGAATTTGAGATGCCTCTGAGTCTTCTGAGTGGGAAGAGCTGACATTTGGACCTGTGGAGCCATTCATTACCATCTATGTGTTCCTGACTCCCACATATGGACTGTTGGGAGTCAAAAGCATGTAGATGGGAATGAAATAAGTCAATGAGTATTTATAGAGCATCCACTAACTGCAAGCATTTTTCTAGGTGCTAGGGTTACACCAATGAATAAGACAAAGACCCCTGCACTGTGGAGCTTATAGTCTAGGAGGGAGGTCAGACAATAGGCAAATAAACATAAAATAACATTAAGCTGTAGTAGATTCTGTATAGAAAATAAAGCAGGGCAAGGGACTAGGGAGTAGGAGGAATACTCCCTATTTTTGGTTGGTTAGTCAGGGAAGGTCTCTCTCAGAAGGCAACATATGAGCAGAGCTCTGGAGGAGGTGAGGGGATGAACCATGTAGATATATGGGGGAGATAGGTAGGAAGAAGCTGGGGAAGTTTGAGGACCAACAAGGAGGCTGGTGAGGCAGGAGTGGAGTGAGTGATGAGGTTGGAGAGGTGGGCAAAGGCCAGATTTTGTAGGGCTCCAGAGGCTTTGGGAAGGAGGATGGAAAGTCCTTTGTAGATAACCCCAAGCTGCTGGATTGGGCAGGAAGAGAGAATTCCTGAAAGACTTCCCCTTCTTCCATCAGAGCCCCACAGCCCGAAAAGCCCCTTTGTGCAGTGGGTGGGTGGCCCATTCTGGCTGGGGGAAGGCTGTGCTTGGTCCTGAGGTCTGCTCCTTGGGGGGGCTAGACAATGGGCCCTTTGTAGTTGGACTTGAGGGCCAAGTGACCCTCTCAACGATGGGATTCCTCAGCCAGGCGGCATGTGACCCCAAGACCTTGGCTTCTTGCCAGAGGGTCTGGGCCTGCTGCTGGGGAATGGGGTGGCAAGATGGGGAGAGGTTGGGGGAAGGGCGAGGGAAAGCACTGTGGAGCCCTTCTCCTGAGACAGGGCAGAGTCCTGTCTCAGGCTGAAGGAGGTGGAGAGATGGGCAGGGAGGGGGCTGTAGCTCTGCTTGAGGGAGCAGGGGAGGGCTGCAGAGCTGGAAACTTTGGACAACAACAAATGGTTTCCACAGCAGGGTAGGAGGGAGGGGCTGACCGCCCCTGGGCCTAGTGGGTAGGGGCAGGCAGAAGACGGCCTGACAAACCTACATCTTCTGTCCCTTCAGAAGAGGAGAGAGCATGGAGCTGGAGAGGATTGTCAGTGCAGCCCTCCTTGCCTTTGTCCAGACACACCTCCCAGAGGCTGACCTCAGGTAGAAGCAGCTTTTCTAGAAAGGTCATGCTAGGGTCAGGGTTGGAGCTGCTGGGCAGCACTCTGGGCCCTGGCCCATGGAAAGGTGGGGTGGGAAGCCCTCAACTCAAATCCTGAGGTGGGGGAGGGCTGATTATGATCTGCTGGTATGGCCTTACATCTTAACCTGTCCCTGTCACCTTGCTGAACAGATGGGAAACCAAAGCTCTGTGGGAGGGTGGGATATTTTCTGGCTTCAAGGCTTGAAGTCTGGCTCATGGACCCAGTGAAGCCGAGGGCTCGAGTCTCAGGGTAGGTGGGTTGCTGGAAGTATCCAGTGTCCTACCCAGGGCTTATCCTGTCCCCTTCCTGCAGCGGCTTGGATGAGGTCATCTTCTCCTATGTGCTCGGGGTCCTGGAGGATCTGGGCCCCTCCGGGCCATCAGAGGAGAACTTCGATATGGAGGCCTTTACTGAGATGATGGAGGCCTATGTGCCTGGCTTTGCCCACATTCCAAGGTGGGATCTGGCTGGGGCAAAGAGAGGGTGGAGGGCTGGCGGATGGTGGAGGGTGGGCAGAGTTGTCCTCTTACCACCGTCCTGGTTTTTTCAGGGGTACAATAGGGGACATGATGCGGAAGCTCTCAGGGCAGTTGAGTGGTGCCAGGAACAAAGGTGAGTTTGGGGACTGGGCACTTGGATGACTCAATACCCCCATCCCCCAAAGCCCTGGCAAACCTGATGCTCTCTCTGCTTCCTTAAGAGAACCTGCAACCACAGAGCTCTGAGGTCCAAGGTCAGGTGCCCATCTCCCCAGAGCACCTGCAGCAGCCTGAAAAGCTCAAAGAAGAGACTAGGGCTTCTCCTACTGCTGCTGGAGACACCCAGGATGAGGTACTGGTAGAGGAGGGTACTGGTGAGAGAATTTGGGGCCAGGAAAGAAGGAAGTACTGCTTCTTGTCAACATCTCTGCCCACAGGCAGCCGGTGCTGAGGAGGAGCTGCTTCCAGGGGTGGATGTTCTCCTGGAGGTGTTCCCTACCTGTTCAGTGGAGCAGGCCCAGTGGGTGCTGGCCAAAGCTCGGGGAGACTTGGAAGAAGCTGTGCAGATGCTTGTCGAGGGGAAGGAGGAGGGGCCTCCAGCGTGGGACGGCCCCAACCAGGTATCCTCTGCTAGACATGCCCCTCAACCCAAATAGCCTCAGCCACGTTCCACCTTAGTGTTAAGCACCTGCCCCTAGCCTATCCCTGTCTGCTTCTTCTGGTGCCCTAGGGTTTAGACTAGGCTTCCCTTCTCTGCAGGACCTGCCCAGGCGCCTCAGAGGCCCCCAAAAGGATGAACTGAAGTCCTTCATCCTGCAGAAGTGAGTCTGGGCTGGGCTGGGCTAGACCCTTAGAGGGTCTTCCCAGAGTGGCAGGAACTTCACCCAGCCAGTTTTTGGCAGGTACATGATGGTGGATAGCGCAGAGGATCAGAAGATTCACCGGCCCATGGCTCCCAGGGAGGTGAGAGGGTTATGGCTGCTGGAGGTGTGGTGTGGGTGGGATGTCCCCTGGCTTCTGCTGCTCACTGCCCAATTGCCTGACAGGCCCCCAAGAAGCTGATCCGATACATCGACAACCAGGTAGTAAGCACCAAAGGGGAGCGATTCAAAGATGTGCGGAACCCTGAGGCCGAGGAGATGAAGGCCACATACATCAACCTCAAGCCAGCCAGAAAGTACCGCTTCCACTAAGGCATTCGCCAGACTCTGCTGGAGCTTTCTAGGCTCAGACCCCAGAGGGATGCAGGAGCCCTACACCCCACACAGGGCCCGCCCTAACTCCTGTCCCCCTTCTCCGTCCTGCTCTCTACTTCCTTGCCCCACAGTGCTGACCTCCTCTTGGAGCTGCCCACGGGCACAGTAAAGGTGGCCCCAGGAAGGTGTGAGTGCATTCTGTCATTTCTGCTCAGAATTGGGGTACTGTGTCTGTCTGACCTCTCTCCCAACTTCATATCCCTTATCTCCAACAGGGCAGCAGGACCAGGCAAGAGGGGGTAAAAAGCTCTTTATTTGAAGCTCCAGGGTGGGGCAGGGCATCCGCCTCTAACCAGAGGCCCCCACAGTCCAGTTTCCCTACAGTTCATAGTCAGGCCCCGCCACACAGTCCAGCTGTGCCCCATCGGCAGGCAGGTCAGACCTGCAGGTTGACAAAGGGTGCAAAGCCTGCCATGTCCTGCAGCAGCACCAGGGCCTGATGCAGCGGCGGCTCCACGTCGATGTCCACGCCGCGCTTCCGCAAGCGGCTCAGGCTGGGCTCGGCCACATGGTGGCAGTGCCGCACCCGCAGCGAGCGCAGCGCCGGGCAGTACTCGGCCAATGTCCTGGGGGAGGAGCCGGGTGAGGCTAGGGGCCAGAAGCCGCTACGCCCACGGTGGGGGAGCCAGCAAAGCCCCTGTCTCCCTCAAACTCAGAGCATTCTTTTTCCCTCCATAAACGATTAAGGGAGCCCGGATGGGGTCATACATTCAATGTCTCCAGTGAACCAGAGACTTCCTCCTGTCTCTTAAAGGGGGAAACTGCTCCTCAGCTCCGCCCAGGATTCCAAGGTTTTCCCCTTGTTGAAGAAAAGCCAGAAACTTGACTGTATGTGAAATCGGCCAATGTGTAAATACTGGTTCAAAAAAGTTTTTTTTAAAACTATGGGCTCTATGGTCTAGGCAATCCTAGAGGCCTTTCCTGGTCTGAATGGGGGTGCCGTGGTATCCAGACACCACAGTTCTGCCCTGCGACAGCTACAGCCTGCCCCTGACCCAGAGGCTAAATAAGTGATTGCCCTTTTCCCAACCCACCGATCCCATGCCCAGGCACCTGACGCCGTCGCTTCCGACACGGAGGCAGCCGGTTAGGTCGAGGTGCTCGAGTTCCGGGCAGTTCCGAGCCAACTCCTGGACTGCAGCGTCCCCCACGTTGGCGTTGACTGCCAGCGAGAGGCTGCGGAGGCCCGCGCCGCGCCTCTGCGCCAGGTATACGATGGCCTCATCCTTGAGCTGACGGCAGGCGGTGAGGTCCAGCTCCTCAAGGGCCGGACAGCGGTCGGCGAGGCCGCGCAGCGCCAGGCCGTCTACCCAGTCACAGTGCGCGAGGGAAAGGCGCTGCAGACGGGGGCAGCCCTCCGCCAGCGCCCCCAGCGCGCGGCGGCTCAGTTGCCCGCAGCCGGCCAGCGCCACGCTCCGCAGCTGCGGATTCCGCGTCAGCACCGGCACCAGATCCTCGTCCGACAACCATTCGTGACACGGCGCCAGCGCCAGCTCCTGCAGCCCCTCAGCGTCCCGCAGCAGCCAGGCCAAAGCTGCCCGCGGGATCTGGGGACCCACCTGCGGGCAGGGAGGCACCTCGACTCTCAGCTGGTCCCGGGGGCGGGACGGGCGCTGCCTCTCCGCCCCCGAAGAGTTCTTTCCCGTCAGTAACCCGCCCTCGGGGTTTGCCACCTGCCCTCCCGGGAGAGACCCCAAGCGCCTTCTGAGTTGATACCCGGCCCTCGCCCTTTGAGAGTACTCCCCGCGGAGTGGATCGCTTCCCTGGCATTCTTGGAGGCCCGGGAGGGTCCGGCAGGGTAGACAGCAGGTCTACCCCAGGGGCTGGGGGCTGGGCTGGAGGCGGGGCGAGGGCGGTACTCAGACGGGATGAGGCTCTGGCCCCCGGCTCACCTGAGCGGCGTCGAAGCGGCGCAGCCCCGCCAGGTGCAGCTGCACGAGCGCCCGGAAGGCCCGGCTGACGCGCTGCAGCCGGAGAAGCTGGCGTAGCGGCACCCGGCTTAGGACGTGTGGGAGCAGCACGTCTTCCCAAGGCAGGTCCAGGAGCCTGCGGGTAAAGGGGCGGTGGCGTCCCCGGGCCGCTGTCACCTACGAGTCCGCCTCCGTTATGCTTCTGCGCCCTGGCTCCTAAGAGCGGCCCCCAGACCCGGCCCAGTTCGGCTCCCCTCCCCCAGGTCCTTCTTCCCTTTCTCGGCCCCTCCCGTGCTCGGTACCTGACGGCTCCCGGCTCTTGCTCCCCTCCGGACGGCTCCATCGGTGGCTCCATCGGCTGCCTATTGCGCGTGCGCAGTAAGGTCTTCTTGCTTTGGCCTTGGAGAGGCCTCAGCGAACCCGCCTCCTTGGGCTGTAGAGACAGACCGATTCAATCGAGTGCGGTCTCACTGAGGATCCTATCTGAAAGCGTTCCGGTTGGATCTCGAAACAGGGCGGAACAGACTGGTGGTGTAACATCAGACCTCGCCTTCTCGGCTACAGGGCTTGAGAACTGAAGCTGGAGAACGCAATGGTGCAGCAGAGACTGGCTCTTTTTTCGTCTTGGGCCAGTGGCTGCCTCTGAGTGAAGTGGTGATGGGAGGAGCAGGCAAAGCCAAACGCAGAAGGGGCGGAGCCAAGACTCCAAGGTTCTGGGCCTACTCTTTGCCCTCTGGTCACGTTTAGCGACTTGGAAAAATGGGAAGAAACTATCCAGGCGTACTGTCTGGCACGTAGTAGGTGCCCAGTAATTGCTGAATGAATTGAATGGGCGAAGCTAGAATTTTTTTCCTTCATCAAGCAAACTTGCCCAAACCTCTCATTCCTGGTTAGTTATGAAGTACAGAGCTGTCCAGCCCCTTCCACTCCCGGACGATTTGGAATGGATTTGCACCTTGAGGGGAGAGGCAGAGGGGGCGCTGAGGATTCTCTCTCCACCTGGGTCCCTGTCTTTTCCCCAGGAGGTCTAGAGTCCTGAGAAGAATGAGTGCTCAGTTCAGCCCACCAGGAGTAACGCTTCTCGGTTGACCTGGGGATTTAGCTGTGGGCTTTGGGGCTGGGCCCGCCCTGCGGCAGTGATGTCCCAGAACTCTAGGCTCAGACTTTGGGCCGCCCTCTCACCGCGTCCGCAGTTCCTGGTTCCAGGGTCCGCTCCGGGGAACCCCCGGAGCAGTGCTTTCCCCGTCATCCATTGGTGGGGAGGGTGTGAAGGACGCTGAGGGCTACTGCTGTCGCCGAGAGCTGCCCCCTAGCAGGGCTGCGCTCTCCCTTCGTGCAGCCACTTCATCTCCCTCTGCATAACGAAAACTGCTTCCCATCCATTATTTCATCAGGGCTTCGGGCACTTCTGCAAGGTGAGCTGCTCTGTGCTGTTACTCCACTTTAAAGATGGAACCGAGGCCCTAGAGAGGACGCGCCTTGTCCAGGGTCAAGCGAGTTGCGATTGAGAATTCAGGCATCCTAGTTTTCCCAGAATCCCTTCCACCCTCCCCCACCCCCAATGCAGCAAGAAGGGAGAAGCCAGCATCGGGGAGGGACCAAAGAGGGTTATCTTGGGTGAGGGATTTGCTTCCTCTTCCTTAGCCTGCTTGGGGAGGGGGTAGATGGGAGGACCGACCTCCGCTAAGATAGAGCCTTGTAGGCGCGCACCACATCGGGACACGCGCCTCCTCCTCCTCCCTGCTTTGTTCGCGCCTCTGCGCCTGCGCAGTGCGACAAATCTGGCGCTGTCCCTTTCAGCACCACGCGGAGCCCGCGCCGCCCCTCCCCGCGGTGAGCCCCGCGCGCCCCCGCCGCGCAAGTCCTCGCGCCCCCTGACTGCCCGAACAGACCCCTTCTTCATTCCGAGGTCACCACCTGCATGCCCTGGCGTTCCCAAGGAGAGCAGTTGCCATAGTAACTCTGGCAGTGCTTTCCTGAAATAGCTGGGCCCCCTTCTACCTTGGCCAAGGGCACAAGGGTTGCCTGCTCCCCACTTCCTCCACTCCAGCATCATCCCGTCTAACCTTTTACCCTCAGATAGCCAGGACACCTAACTCAGGCAGCAAGGAAGTTCTTTCTAAAGTCTGACTAACATCCCTCCTGCTGCATCCTGGGCGAGTGGTCAGGGTTGGGTCTCCTGGGTCCGAAACGCAGAACCCCTTAGGGCTTGAGGCAGTGTTTCCTAGATCTCTCTCCCATAAGTTGTTGGTCTCTTGGATTTAGGGGGCGGGTCCGGTCTACACCCATTCGGTGTGCTTGGCGCGGCCGCGTGCTCGTGGGGGCGGGAGCGCGTGTGGCATGTAACAGGTCATGTGGCAACCTCCTAGGGACACGCGTGGGGTCTGGAGCGGGACACGCGAGTGCAGCTGGGTCTGGCGTGTGGCTCAGGGGGCGGTGGGGGAAAGGGACCAGGACACAATTGGGGTGGGGCACGTGTGGGTCTTGGGAACAGAACCGGGGGTTCCATACATCCTCCCCCTCGTCAAGGGCGGGTCTCAGGTTGGCGGGAGAGCCCAGCGGGGACCTAGCGTCGAGAAGGGGGGCCAGCCTCCGGGGCTCAGGGCCCTGGAAAAGGGCGGGGGGTGGGTGGGGGGATTAGCTCTGCCTGAGCCGCGCGTAGGGGGGAGGGGGAGGGACTGAGAGGCAGGCGGGCCTGGAGCAAGCGGGAGCAAGCGGGAGCCGCGCTGCCTTCACAGCTGAGCTGGGCCCAGCCTCTTCCCCGCCTCTCCTCGGCCCCAGCTCCAGGCGAGCAGCGGTGAGTACTGAGGCAGCTCCAGTCGGAGCTGCACTGGGGATGCCCTGGGCCCCCACTGAGCTTCAGAAACCTGCCTGGCAGGGTTGCTGCTCCTGACCTCTGCCCCTACCCTGCATTGCCACCAGAGGCCCCTTTACCCCTTTAAGGGCTGGACAAGATCCTGTCATTCCCTTAAGAGGGAAGGAGGGACAGGGTCTGGTGCAGCGTTCCCACCCAGAGACAGGTGACTGGTGGGGGTTGGGGAAGAGGGTGTGTGTTCCTGTTTAAGTATGTGTGTGAGGGTGCATCTGTATTTGTATGTGATTGTGACTAGTAGGTCCCTGTGAGTGTCTGATACGCCTGTGTCTGTGTGCACTGGAGAATGAGGCCCTGTGTGTATATTTGTGTGTCTCTTTGTGTGTTCTTGTTTGATGACAGTGTGTGTGTAAAATAAGCATGTGCCTTTCCATTACACACATATTTGTTATGACTGTGAGAGTGTATGAGGGTGTGTCTTTGGGCAATGTGTGTGTGTGTGTGTGTGTGTGCCTGGGTCTGTGTGTGCAGGAGATATTGCCTATGAATATGTGTAACTGTGTACTGACATTATTTGTCCCTGTGTGTGTGTGTGTGTGTGTGTACCTGTATGAAGAACAAGAATGCCCCTTTCCCATTCAACATATATACATTAGGAGTAGGGGCCTCAGTTCTCCTCCCCTTCACCATATGCCTCTCAGCCCCTCATAGTCCCTATACAACAGCCCCCCCCCAATCTTCCTGCCTTTCCCTCTAGGAGGCCTGAGTTCTCTCTCACTGAGTGAGGGGCCTCCATAAGAGAGACTGTGGGGGACCCATGGCTGTAAGATGGTTTTGATTGGCTGACACTCCAGGTCCAGAGGGTGGGCTACCAGCCTTCCCCCTCCTCCACCAGAAGTAGCTCCAAAATGCCAGAGGGACTCTGAACTCATTCAACTTCTGAAATAGCTTCCTTTCTCCTCCCAGGGTGATGCTCAGGGCCCCCAGACAGAAGGAGAGGAGCCAGGGGCCTACTGGGGATACAATTCTTTTCTCCTCAGGCCTCCATGGAAGTAGCCCAAGTAGGAGGCCCGATCACTTCTAGGGGTGGGATCAATGATGTCATATTCCCAGGACAGGCTAGGCCCCTGGCTCTCAGATGGCCTATCCTGCTTTCCCCTCCCTGTCTCTGCTCTCCCGTCCATCCACCTTCCCTGCAGCTCACCCCCTGCTCCCTCTTCCTCTCTTGCAGGCCTGTCTGAAGAGCATGCTGCCCCCTCACTCCCCGCCTGGCCTCGCCATCCCTGCCCCCCCAGCCTGACCCCCGGCCCCAGCATGGCCCAGGGTGCCATGCGCTTCTGCTCGGAGGGCGACTGTGCCATCTCCCCACCACGATGCCCACGCCGCTGGCTCCCCGAAGGCCCAGTGCCACAAAGCCCCCCAGCCAGCATGTATGGCAGCACAGGCTCCCTGCTACGGCGGGTGGCAGGTCCAGGTCCCCGAGGCCGGGAACTGGGACGTGTGACAGCACCCTGTACACCCCTGCGTGGGCCCCCCTCACCCCGTGTTGCTCCCTCACCCTGGGCACCCTCTTCACCCACTGGGCAGCCCCCACCAGGGACTCGGAGCTCTGTGGTCATATTCCGCTTTGTGGAGAAGGCCAGCGTGAGGCCCCTGAATGGGCTACCTGCTCCCGGAGGCTTGAGTCGGAGCTGGGACCTGGGTGGGGTCTCTCCTCCCAGGCCCACCCCAGCCCTGGGGCCCGGCTCCAACCGGAAGTTGCGGCTAGAGGCATCCACATCAGACCCACTCCCAGCCAGAGGAGGCTCAGTTCTGCCTGGCAGCCAGGGCCTTATACATGGGCCACCAGCCCAACCTCAGGTTGGGACAGATGGCCTTTACTCCTCTCTCCCCAATGGGCTGGGGGGACCCTCTGAGCACCTGGCCAAGCTATTCCCAGGACCTGCTGACACTGGACTCCTGAACCAGGTATGCGACTTCCCTTGGGCTCCCTGGAACCCCAGAGCCCCAGCATAGGGGCAAGACTTGGTCCCTTGGCAGTTTTGAGCCTGTCAGCTGTTCACTCTGAATTCTTTGATCTGTCCTAAATCTGTCTCTTTCTTGCCCCACATGTTTGTCCCTGTGCCTCGGCACCTCTATATCTGTCCCTGTGTGTTTTTATTTCTGTGTTTCTGTCCCATGTTCTTGTGTCTTTGTATGTGTGGCTTTATCTCTGGGTGCTTGTGTCTATCTCTCCCTCCTTGGCTTAGGGAGATACCTGGTCCTCCCCCCGGGAGGTATCCTCTCATGCCCAGAGAATTGCTCGAGCCAAATGGGAATTCTTCTATGGCTCCCTGGACCCCCCAAGCTCAGGTAAGATCCTGGATGAGGCAAGGGGAACAGGGCAGGGCCTTCCCCACAGCAGCTGAGGCCTGGTAGGGAGCCTTCCTTTAAACCTTCCCCCAATTCTTTCCTGGGCTCATGAGTTGGCTAATGCCTCTCCAGGCCTCAAACTTTCCAACTGTGTCATGATGGAGGGTCAAGGGATCATGGCTGGGTTGGGCACCTGGAGGAAGCTAGATTGTGGAGACAGGGGATGGCAGGAGATCAAGGGTCATTCCGTGAAGTAGAAAAGAAGCTGGTCTCCCCCAGGCCCCTCAAAGTTATTTGACAAGAACTTGATTTGAAACGAGCTTCACTGGCACCAGGAACAAGCTGAGTTTGTAGCAGGAAGAATGGTGGCTAGACAGTGAAAGAACTTCCTGCCAATATGAGGCAACAGGAAAGAGTTCCTTCCTAGAATAGTATCAAGACAGGTAGCTGACAGGATAACCTCTTGACCGGGATGCCTATACATACTGCAGGTGCTAAGCCCCCAGAGCAGGCCCCCCCATCTCCATCTGGGGTGGGCTCAGGGCAGGGCTCTGGGGTGGCTGTGGGGCGAGCAGCCAAGTACTCCGAGACGGACCTGGACACGGTGCCCCTGAGGTGCTACCGCGAGAC